GGACGTAATTTGCAATAATTAATGAGGAAATTCGGTAAATCAGCTGCATTACATTATAGGACTATTCAAGCTTGAGACATATGTAATTGACAACGAGAAAAACACAGGCAGATATTAATTATGTAAATTAACACTTAATTTGCATAATTAATGAGAAAATGTTATAATTCCATAATGGTAACTGCCTGGAATTTCATACTTAGGGTATTTGCAAGTTAAGTGAATGTGAACATCATTAAACATAATTTATTCAAATAAGGACCTCATTTGCATGATTTATGAGGTAATGATAGAATGGCTTTCTTTTTTAAGATAAGGCTGTCTTTTATGGATAATATGATCAACTCATATAATTCATGCAAATGAGGATCCTATTTGCAAAATCAGGAGGAATAATCTTTACTTTGTCATAAACTTGATAAAGATTAACATCATTTGGCGAAGGTATGAGATCGTGGGACTCTAGTTGTATTTAATTTTTACAAAACCATCAGCCCTAACAACGACGTGTTAACAACGATGGTGATGAAATTCCAGGAATGTGACAAAGAATCCCCATACAATGTGTGGCTGTTGTTACCTTAAAAACAGCTCCTGAGTTTTGATTTAGATGATGTCACACATTGAAACGACTCTACCTGTATATTCACTGTGTAAATGGCTTGAAATAATGTTTTTGTTATTTTTAAGATTAGTCAAAAGTCTCGTTTCAAAAGTGATTGATACGGTTTATTCAGCATGCTTTTTTCACATAACGTTACATAGTTAGTGTGGAAAGAATGGTATAGAACGCCATTTGCCATGCACCTTCATTTAGATACCTATAGTTGGGAAGCTATTTAGCAATGTGAAGTTTTGCTTTCCGTCATACCAAGGACACTCCCGCCCTTGGCCATACAGTCCTCTGTCGCCTGTTTCGTCCTTGGGTTTTCTTCTCCCGTTTCCTCTTCGGAATTTCCTGGGTTTTATCAGAGCTTTTCCACAGCTTATATTCACATCACTTGAGGTTTAGGATCTTGGCAGGAGGTCGCACAGACGCTTCATCAATTCCTGCGGAGTCGGATAAGCACGGACCGGTGAGATGAGGGGCCTGCTTACTGCTGTCTCTCTGGTCATCATCTGCCAGGACTTTGTCAACGGTAGGAAACTTTATTTTTTTTTGTATAATGTCTGACAGAAGTGCTTTATTTGAAAGTTGTTCAAATGTTTATACCAAAAAGGACACATCAAAGGCAGAATTGTATGTTTCTATACACGAAGTCTTATACAGGCTACTTGTCTATTAAATACTTGGACACATTAATAAAAACAATTGAAATGAATGATTCTTAAATCCGGCCAGCCATATAATTTCGCGACGCGCTCGTTATACTTCTACAAAGAATGGGGTGGGGTCGTGTGGCGTAAGCGGTAGCGTGATCGGCTCAGGACCAAGTGTTCCCGGGTTCGAGTCCTACCCATGTAACCGGTCTTGTGCCCTTAGGAAAAACACTTTACACAACTTTCCTCACTTTACTCTGATAGGAATAAGTACCTAGCTTCGGTTAGGTTAGGGACGTCCCTCGGATAGGACCTGGTGGTCCTGTGTTTGGGGAGAGCCACACCTTACACACTTTAACCCTACCTAGACCGGGGGGGGGGGCTAAAAGTGCCCGCGGCAACTTTGATGTCACCTAGCGTCTGAACGGCTAGCCGTAGAACGACCAAACTTGGTGACTTTTCCTAAAATATTGTTGGCAACAATTCTCTATCATTGGAATAAGATAATAATTTTTTGTGTTGCCATGGCAACGGGTTTCTGACAGGCATTTTTTGCTAAATTTAGTACTTTTTGTTTCAACAATTGAATTTTATCGGTTTTATGTCAAGTTACTCATGGTTTCTAATATTAATAACATCCCATATAATTTTATGTAAATTTTATCATTAAATATGCATAATTTGTGCTAATTTGATGACGTCATTGGACAAAATCCAAGATGGCGGACCATATCATTAGAACAGGTATATACGGGTTATTTTCATTAAAATTTCATCAATACTTCCATTTCTTTTTACAAAAAAGGTTTGAATGAAGGTGTTTAGTATGTTTACAATGTATTTTAGGCTTTATCATGAAAAAAAAACTACTTTTGAAAATTCAAGATTGATGATCCAAGATGGCGGATATCTTAAATATGCATGACGTCATTTTATGACGTCACCGGTGTTGCTATGGGCAACATAAGACTTAGTACACACTAATATTCTGTCATAAACACTTTTGGTAAAGTTATGTTGTATAACAGGGAGGTTTTCGGGGAAAAACCTATTTAGACGGTTTTGGCCAATAAAATCACATTAATGACGTCATAATGACGTCATATTACGTCATAAAAATTGTAGATATGATAAATTTTCACTAGTACACCATTCTCTGAAAATTTGGTGGTCATACGACATACCGTTTGCGAGTTCTTAGGGGGGGTCAAAAGAGCCCCCACCCCGGTCCCCCCATGTCAAAAAAAGCCCGGTCTAGGTAGGGTTAATCACGTCACCAAACAGGGCTCAAAGCGTCTCTTTCTCCTAAGACGACTAAAGAAGTTCCGCCTTTCCCCCAAAAGACCTGCTCACCGTGTACACCTGTTATGTGTTACCGCTGCTGGAATATGCTGCACCTGTTTGGAGCCCAGGCCTCACCAGAACCCAGACTAAACAACTCGAGATCATCCAGCGTCGAGCGTGCCGCACAATCCTGGGGACTCAGTACACCTGTTACTCAGAAGCGTGCGCCCAGCTCAACCTTCCCACACTGGAGTCCAGACGCGATCAGCTCAGCAGGAAGTTCGGGCGCAGACTTTTGAGCTCCCCCTCCTTCCGTGAATGCCCCCCCCCCCGTCCCGTATGGAGATCAGTGGTCGCCAGACTCGAACATGTAACAACCTGGACTCTGTCAGTGCTAGAACTGCTCGCTTCTACAATAGCAGCATTCCCCACATTGTCAGATTGCTTAACTCCTCTCTCCACTGAATGTACTATCCGCAATATTGACATTGACTTTTAATGTGCAATATTGATATTGACTTTTAATCGATTAAATTTAAAGCGTTTTAACAAGATTTTAATACTGTGTCATTTACATCTTATAATACTCTGTTATTTTAATACGTTAATTTAATGTGTACTTATGTAAGTGAACTGTAATTCTACTATTAGTAACTCAAGTCTGAAGTCTTAACCACAGTTTATCTAGTGCAGCTTGTATCTGCGGGTCTCGTTGTGAAAGCGCCATACATTTTCTGTTACTCTGCCAAGTATATAATCAGCAAAGAGCCACCCTACTCAGCAATGTACAGAACTTGGTAGGCTCTATCTTTGATGTACACAACATGTCTGAACAATTCCTACGTAATATTTCACTTAGAGGATCACCTGATATACACTCAGATACAAACTGTAACATTTTGACAATCATAACCTCCATGAAAAATGGGGGTATTGTTTTTGGCATGTCTGTATGTATGTATGTCTGTGTGTTTGTGTGTGTATGTCTGTCTGTCTGTGTGTGTTTCCGCACATTTGTAGTCAGCATAACTTCAGAACGCCTTTATGGATAGTGATGATATTTGGTATGATGGTAAGTCTTGGAAAGACAAAGGTCAAAGTCAAATATGGGCCTCTTGGTGAATGCCCTTGGTACTGCAGCAGAATTTCCATTTTTTGTTTCTTTTGTCCTGGGCATGCCATGGTCTTGATTTTTAACCCTACCTAGACCGGGGGGGGGCTAAAAGTTCCCGCGGCAACTTTGATGTCACCTAGCGTCTGAACGGCTAGCCGTAGAGGGCCAAACTTGGTGACTTTTCCTAGAATATTGTTGGCAACAATTCTCTATCATTGGAA